TATATATATATATATATATATATATATTAACAATTGCTCTCTCCTTCCCCTCTCTTTGTGTCTTTTCTTCTGGGGGACCCCACTCGTCTTATTCCCCATCGTTTCTTCCTCAGCTAGCTAGCTAGCTGGCCGGCTGGCTTCTGCCGCCTCAGTAGGTTGGCCAGCTGGCTAGCTAGCTGGCTAGCCAGCCAGCCAGCCAGCTAGCTGGCTAGCTAGCAAACGAGCTGTTACCCCCTTATCTGGTTAGTGGATTGGTTAGGGTGGCTATTGAGTAATTGGCGGAGTTTTTGTGTGTTTTTATTTCTTTGTAAAAAGAGACTTTATTTAATTGTTTACTTACAATAAAAACTAAATAAGTAAATAAATAGAAAGAAACATATTAAGCAAGAGAGAAAGACATATTAAGAAATAAATAGCAATAATATATACTCCTTTCCTTAGCTTAGTAAGTCCTATTATTAATATATTATTATTACTATTACTACTATTGTTATATTATATATTATTATTACTATTACTACGATTATTATATTATATATTATTATTATTGTTATAAATATAATAATAATATAAATATACTGTTATGTATACTCTGAGACAAAAAGCAGTAAATCCTTTTTCCTTTTCTCCCTCTCTAAAAGAAATTTACAACAATTGTCGCTGCAGCAGCAGCAGCTGCTGCTGCAGATACACCTCAGGGTCGTTGATGCCCAAAAGGTGTATGTACACCACAACTACAAAATGATGCTAATGTGCTGCAGCAGCTAAGGGGCCCATCGGCGACCCAAGCGAGCAGCAGCCAGCTGGCTAGCTAGCTAGCTATCTAGCTATTTGTTCCTAGCTCGCTACTCAGCTAGCAAAGTGGTAGCTCGCCAGCAAAGTACATTGCTGTTGGCTAGCTGGTAACAGAGGCAGGCGCTGCGGGCAGCAGTGTATCTGCTGGGTATCTAACGAGCTGCCGAGCAGAATGCCAGGCAATGCAGCTAGCTGCCTGGCTAGCTAGCTAGCTAGGTAGCTAGAAAAAAAGAGTGGCGAGCTAACTGCCCACCTAAATAGAAAGCTAGCTAGCCAGCAAACAAACGAGCTAGCTAGCTAGCTAGCTAGCTAGCTAGGAACCTTCTTGGGTAGAGGGCTGTTGAAGGGCTGCCTGTAGCTCAGAGAGTTGCTGCTCTAATGCAGCACATTCAGCTAGCTTCGTGTCTGCTAGGGAGCGCAGTTGCTGCTGCAGCAACTCCTTTTGCTGCAGGGCTTCTTGCTGCTGCTGCTGCAGGGCCTCAATTGCCGCTGCAGCTTCCCGCTGCCGCTGCTGTTCTTCCTGATCCAGTAACTGCTGCTGCTCCTCAACCAATTGCTGCAGCTGCTGCTCCTGCTGCTGGTACTGCTGCATTGTCTCCTCCACCCCCTCGAGGTGTCGCCTCTCCGCCTCAATAAGCTGCTGCTGCTCAGCCTGCTGCTGCTGCTGCAGCTGCTGCAGGTCCTCCTGCACCAATTGCATGCGTTTCTCCAATGTCTTTCGGCTCTAAATACAAACAAATAATACACAAGTGACGGAAAGCAAGTGTTACACCCTAAACCCTAAACCCTAAACCGTCACAACGAGCAACCTTGGGGGGACCTACCGCCAGGAGGTCTTTAATTCCTTTCTTGACCTTTTCAATTTCTCGACTCCCTCGCTGTCTCTGTTGGTTAGTCTGCACAGCAAGCACAAGAAGCACATCCAGGCTAGCTAGCTAGCTAGTTAGCTAGCTATCTATGTATCCGGCTGGTTAGCTAGCTAGCTATATGCACCCCGAAACATACCTCTTCCTTAGCCGTCTTCTCTAGTTGCATTATCCGCTGAATTCCTTTCTTCAGCTGCGGCCAGTCCAGCCCCAACTGCAGCAGTAGCAGCAGCAACAGCAGCAGCAGCAGAGTGTATGCGCAGCTCAGGAGCAGCAGGAAGGAGAAGATGAATATAAAATAAAAAGGTAATAATAGCAAGGAAAGAAAATACAAGGAATAATATAGAGCGAGACAAGTACACTACACCGAGCAGCAGCAGCAGCAGCAAGAGATATGCTTTTAGACAAGGAGCAAGAGCAGCAGCTAGCAGAGATGCTGCAGCATTCTGCTGCAGGAGTCACAAGCAGAGGAAAGGAAAGAATACAACTAAACCCTAAACCCTAGACCTTAGAGGAGTAAGAAAGCCTACAATTTCATTAGTTGCCCTCTTTATATCGCATGCAGCAGCAGCAGAAGGAGCAGCAGCAGCAGAAGTTTCCATCTTAGGGAGGGCATTCCAATCCTCTGCTGTAGGCAGCTTCGCTGATACAGCTAGCTGCGACATGCTGCTCAGGCACTCGTTCACCTGCAGCAGCAGCAGCAGCAGAGGCAGCAGCAGCATTTGATTTGTTGCTGCAACGACGCAGCTGACGCTCCAAAAAGCGCTATGAGCAGCAACAGCAGCAGCATGTAAACCCTAAAACCTAAACCCTAAACCTAGGAGCAGCAGAAACCCTAAAGACGCACTGATTGCCCAGCTATCCGCAGCTTCTCCGAGTCATCTGCAACCTGCAGCGGAGCAACAACGGCAGCAACTGCAGCAACAGAAACAAATGTAATCTAGCGGGTTTGTTTATAGTAGTGCATAGCAGCAGAAGCTGCTGTTGCTGTTGCTGTTGCTGCTGTTGCTGCCTTGGCTGCTACTGTCCTCACCTTGTCGATTAGTGTCTGTAGTCCCTCGCTCAATGATTCGATTTCCTGAAGGGAATTCGCAGCAGCAGGAAAAACAGCAGCAGCAACAGCAGCAGCAACAGCAAGATGAAATAGCAGCATTATATGGGGTTGGTATAGGGGTTAGAGACAAGCGCATCGCGAAGAAGAGCATAACAAAAAGATATAAAAAATATATAAATAAATAATCACTAAGAAAAATAAATAAATATACATAAATAAATAAATGAATAAATAAACTATATGCTTGCCTTTGAACGATGAGAAAGACCTTCACGAAGACGCGAAATGTCATGACGAATTCTCTCCACCTCTGCCTTGTCAATCTGCGAAAAACCCTAAACCCTAAACCCTAAACCCTGAAACCTAGGCTCTCTGTGAGCACCCATGTGTTAGGGTTTAGAGGAGAGGGTAAGGTGTACACACACCTCAACATCCTTACCCCTTGGGCCTTTACTCGCTCGCCTAACTTTTGCACTTCATCCATTGCTGCTCTCTGCTGAAGCAGCAGCGAATCTCTCTCTGCTTCCGTTGCTGCAGTGATGCTCTCCTGCAGCAGAGACCAGCAAACGCAGGAGCAGCAGCGAGTCTAGCAGCAGCCAACAAAAAGCAAACATTCGTTGCCAGCGCAAGACAAACCCTAAACCCTAAGCCCCAATCTACCCCATCCCGTTGCAACATTTGCGATCGGCAGGCTGCTCATACCTCCTAAACCCTAAACCCTAAACCCTAGATGTGTATAGGACAATGCACGCATGCACAACCATGATTGAGCCCGCCGCAGTCATCATGTCCTCCCTATATTATCAAGTGTTTAGGGTTTAGGGTTTACAACTTACCTGCTGAGAGATCTCCCCCCTGATATCTGCTATGCGCAAGCGCAGAGTACTTATATCTTTCTTTAGTTGTTCTATTGAATCCTGTAGACACAACAATACTCGCAAGCACCATGCTGCTGCTGCTGCTGCTGGTCGTCTTGCTAAGGTTCCACTTGACAGCACTGGCGCTGTTCTTATTGCTGTTGCTGCTGTTGCTGCTGCGGCTGCTCCTGTTGCTGTTGCTCCTGCTATAGCAAATGCGCATTCGTACCATAAGCGTTGCATTATCGCGGAGCTCTGCCTCTACTGCAGCGAGCTGCTGCTGCCGCTGTTGCAGCTGCTGCTGCAGTTGCTGATGTGTGGCCTCTGCTTCCCTGTTCATCCCATGCAACTGTCCCACTGCAGCAACAGCAGCCGCAACAATAGCAGCAGCAGCAGCATAAGTAGCAGCAACAGCACCAGCAACAACGGGAGTGTGCATCCGCAAAAGTGTCTGAGTCAAGCAAGTATAGCTGCAGCAGCACACAGCCCCAACCCTGCATGCATGCATTCATCGTGTAGCTGTAGCTGCACGCGCATGCAGCAGCTGCTGTCTTGCTTACATACAGCAGCCCTCAAGGCTTGAGGGTCTTTCCCTAGCTGCGGATAAGCAGCAGCAACCATTCGTCCAACAACATCGGTCCGAGCAGCCTGCACACAAAACCCCAGACCCTAAACTCTAAGCCCTAAACTCTAGACCCTAAACCCTAAACTCTAGACCCTAAACCCTAAACCTTAAACCCTAAACCCTTAGTGTGGAGAGTGTCAAGGAGGCGGTATATAGGGTACCTGTAGATCTGCTGCTTCTTCTTCTTGATAGAAAAATTCATTCTCATAGATTAATAACTCGCATAGCCAACTTAATGCTGCTAAATGGTGTGGCCATTGGTGTCCTGTACCAGGGGCCAACATAGCACTCTTGCTTATAGGGAAGGGATAACTGAGGAAACAGCAGCAGCAGCAGCAGCAGCTAAGGAGACAAGCAGATGCAGACGCCAGTAAGACCCTACATATATATATATATATATAT